TGATAGTGACAATGATGTCAACAATGGTGCTAATGACAGTGATGATTCTGATGATGACGATGGCAGCGATGGTGATGGAATGGGGATGCTGATGGTCACTGTGATAACAGAGGGAATGGTGGCCAGAATGATAGTGGTTACTGTAGTGATGGTGGTGATGGCAGTGACGACAGTGAGGTGGTAACAATAGAATACTTTTTATCAACCATATGCAAGGAACTGTGCTACGTGCTTCACATGTGTCATCTCATTTGATGAGACATAATACCTCAGAGATAAACGTATTATACCCATTTTACAGACAAAGAAACCGAGCCTACAATTACTGAGTAAATTGCCCAAGGGCACACACCTGATAGGCGGCTGAACTGTATTCTCCCTGTCTGTCCCTACAGGAATTTCTTTTCTTTTCTTTTCTCTTCTTTTTCTTTCCTCAGTTTGTTATTGGGACTATACCTCGGTGAGCAATAGATTGTAATCAGGTTTGGGATTGTAGGCAGAGGAAGCTAGCTGGCTTGCCCAGTGCCACACACGGTGACTCGTCCAGCCAGATGGGACTCCAGGCCTGACCTCGGCAGCTCTATTCGGCTCCGGGGGCTTAAGGCTGATGCGCAGGTAAATGGCTTCCTTGGAAGTGCCTGCCAGGTGGACTTCCAGAATCCACGGGACTCCGAGCCCAGCCACCTCAGACACAGGAGTAAGACCATTTGGAACATGGGGAGCCGGCCAAGCTCCCAGCTGCGTGCAGCCATCTGAGCAACCTCAGTCAAACCCTCCTGAGCAGAAGAGCCTCCCAGCTTAGCCCAGCTGGCCCACAGGATAACGGGATATAATAAGCCATTGCTGTGTTAGCATCTGTGTTATGGAATGATTCCTGAAACAATCCCAGAGTACTTCTGTGTGAGCTCCCTAAGAACAAAGGCACTTTCTCATATGACCACCATGCAGTTATCAAAGCAGGAGATCAAACAGTGACACAGTATTAGTACCTAATCCACAGACCTATTTCAAACTTCGCCAATTGTCCCAATAATGTCCATTACTGCATTTTTCCCTCCAGTCCAGGATCCTTTTAAATAAGTTTGCTTCTACTGACTAACAGTATCCACACACAACTGAGAACAGTAGGGCTGACATATATGGGATGTTCAGTCATCTGAGCAGCTCAAAGGAAATGGAGATTGGCCGTCCCCCAGGCCCAGCACCCCTCAGTTCCCTGAGGGTGGGCAGCCCTCAGTGGGGAAGCCCTGGGAAAGTGGAGGGAACTCACTTTTCAGACTCACAGAATGGCGTTGGTGTCCTGACTTCACCCAAACTCACTCTGTGACCCAGTGTAGGGGATCCCCTGCAGGCACGAGGCGGATGTTCAGTTGGTGGGGGTTTTCAGCCTTCCTTTCTGACAAAATGTAAGTTTTATGGGTGAGCTACATACATATTGGCTCTAGAATGGCTCAGTTCCCACAAGATGGAAAAACAAACTTTTAGTTTTAAAGAAAACTGCACATTCCAAGACCACATTGGCTTCCCCGTCTAAACGTGCTACACTGGGCCTGAGATTACTGCCCTGCCATCCCCAGAAACGTTCATTGACCAAAATACAATTTCACCAGTGGTGTTACAGAGACACTGTGGGGAAGCTGGGGTTCCTGTGCAGGATCCTCACTGAACTTAAACCACCTGATGATGTAACTGGCCTGTTGCTGGGCTGCCGCTTCCACACCTTTAGGCAATCAGCTATTATTGTGCTATATAGAGAGCTCGGCCCAGTGCTCTGGGCAGAGGCAGAGAGGCTAGTACTTGACCTACCGTTGGGAGAACAAGCCGGCTAATAGACCCTTTCACCCCAAAGAACGTTTGCTGTGTCTTTGGTCACATTGAATCCATAGCGAACTTGCCCGGGGCTGAAACCCATTGGCAAGGCAGACTCTCAGGCCGAAGTGGCTATGCAAACTCTTCTGGCAGATAACTGGACAAATTACGCCCCTCTTGGAATCTGATTTAGCAGTGGATATGGGCCTCTCTCTCCCCAGCCCCCACCTTTATCCCCAGATTTCCACTTACAAATGCATTCTGGGCGTTGGCCTCTCTATCTGCCCATCTCCTGCACAGCGCCCTGCAGAATTCATAAAGGAATCCACAGGCCGCCCACCACGCAGCGGTAATTACAGGGCCTGCCACTGTGAGCAGGGCCCTTAGCAAAAATGAAAGGCACTGCCCTTTCATTAATGGTGATTGCCTAAAGAACCCTCAGGGATGGGTAGGAGGTTCCCAAAATGTCTGAAAGTATGCTGAGCCCAAGCACCAGCATGGCTAGGGCCCAGGTGTTCCTCATATAGGAGCAGCCTCAGGCACAAACACGCCCATTCAAAAGGTGTCACTCAGGGAGCCTGGGGGGAGGGGAGGGGTGGGGGAAGGGAGAGGGAGTGGGTGGGGGAGGGGGAGGGGACATCACAGTTCTGGATTCAAACCCAGGTCTGCCTGGCTCTGAGGCCGGGGCCTGTGCACCAAGTTGCTTCTCTCTTGTGTCTTGGCATGTGGACTCTGGACCTGGACAGCCTGGTTCAAATCCCTACCCCCTGCCTCCTGGTAAGACCTTGGACCTCTATTCTAACATTTAGGGCCTCAGTCTCCCCATCTGTAATATGGCAACAACAGTGATAACTTTGCAATAGGGTAGCTCTAAAGGGCTTGTCACTGGCCTGCCCTAAAGCAGGTGCTATGTTATTCCACCATCCCATCCTTAACTAAAACAAATGTCCCAACAATATTAGACATAAACATTGTGTGTTTATTTTTACTGAGGTAAAATTCACATAGCATTAAATGAATCATTTTAAAGTATGCAACTGAGTGGCACTGAGTGCATTCGCCATCTTGTGCAGCCATGCCTGCTAATTCCCCAATACCTCCCTGCCCTCGGTGACCAGTACTCCCCATCTCGCCTCCCCCCAGCCCCTGACAGCCCTGATCCGCCTCTGTCCCTATGGTTTTGCCTCTTCTAAACGTTTCATATAAATGGGATCATACAAATCTGTCCCTTTGTGTCTGGCTTCTTTCACTTGGCATAGTGTTTCAAAGTCCACCCATCTGCAGCACAGATGTTCTTTTTTCTGGCTAAATAATGTTCCATTGCATGACAATTCCACATTTTGTTAATGTATTCACTCATCAGTTGATGGACATTTGGGTTGTGTGTACCTCTTGGCTATATTGACTAATGCTGCTGTGAATGAGTGGGGTTGCTGGGTCACCTAGTAATTCTCTGTTTAACTGAGAAACTGCCAAAGTGTCTTCCGCAGTGGCCACACCATTTTACATTCCTACCAACAGTGCCCGAGGCTTCCGGTTTCTCCATGGCCTCACCAACACTCGCTATTTTCCATGTGTTGATTATAGCAGATATGAAAGGGCAACAGCATGGTTTTTAAATAATGCTTAAATGTGATTTTGTATACTTTTACATCACCCTTGACCTGTCTGCATTGGCCTCTGTGAGTTCTGGAGATTCAAGATCTAGACACGGTCTGGCCGTCTCTGGGCCTCAGCTTCCTTCTCTGTCTCAGGGCCTGATGGGTCGGGGTCAGGGTTTCTCTGTGGAAGGGGATGAGACACTTTGCCACTGAAGTGGAATTGTATAAACCCCTCCGTGAGTCCCAGAGGAAAAGGAGATGAGTCATTTCGATGGACTTGCCAGCATCTGGAGTTTTTCTTCTTATACACAGAATTTTACACACAGTCACAAGGGATCTGGCCCCAATGATCAATGTAGCTATTTAGGGCTGTCATGTTAATGTCTTAGAGGCAGAGCCCTCAGCCTTGCTGGACACCACGAAGCTCTGGAGCTATACAGAAACATGCCAAGTCCCCTCCTGCTTGGCTATGCAGGTTTCTCCAGCCACCGTCACCACCCAGATGCCCAGAGTGGGCCCCAGAAACCCTTGTGGCCACATGGGACTTGTTGGGTCCCCTCTGTTTCTCAGGAGGAAAGATGTTTTCATTTCTACCATGTGTCTATTTCTTACTGCCATGCTTTTGCTCATGCTGTGTGTACCCTCTTCCCAGAACACCCTTCCCCACCTCCTTCACCCAACCTGCCTCTATGGGTCTGTGAAGTCTCAGTTCAGCACCACCACTTTCTGAGGACTCCAGGAAGCCTTCTCCGATGCCCCACCTGGTCTAGGGGGCCCTCCCCTGTGCTCCTAGGGCCCCTTCTTTGCCCTGCTTCAAGAACTTTCTAATTCATGTGTCCTCCGAAGGGTTGTGAGTTCTTTGAGCAGGAAAGGTGGGACTCACCTTGGGGTCCCTAGCACTCAGTTAGGCCATGTCAGAGGTAGGGGTCCATAGAGAATAGCAGTGTCTGGCCTGCTAGAAGCTGTGTACCAAATTTACTTCTCCTATCCAGCTCTTGCCCAATGCATATGCATACAGCCTCAGTGGACGGTCAGTCATGGTGCCTGACCCAATCTGGCTACGAACTGGGCATGTAACCCAAGCTGGCCTAATCAGATGCTCTCTCCTGAGAAATTTCAGGCAAGGTAGAGTGACACAATGTGGGACAAGGGCTGACACCAAGTTGTCTGACCTCTGTCTACCTCCCGCTACTAGAAGCACACAGCCCCACCACCTCCCGCTTTTCTGCAGCCTAACAGTAGTGTTTCTTAACTTCCACGAACTACCCTGAGTCTTGGAAATATAAGTCTTTTGTAGCATGAAGTTTGCCAGAGTCCATCCCTGTTGCTTGCCTCCAAAGAACCCTGATAGATACAAAACATACATAATCTTTTTAATAGCTGCATGGATGGGCCAACGAGCGCGTCCAGTCACGAGGGCAGAGATGGCCGATCAGACGGGAAGGGAAGAGGGAAGGGAAGGCGCTGTGGCAGAAGGATCAGCAGCAGAGATCCTCGGGAATCCACATACTGGGGTGAAGGGCCGCAGGGGGACTCCTGACTTCAAAACCGAGCCTGAGACTCAGCCCTGGGCCAGTTCCCAACACCCACCTTGACGCGGAAGGCGTGGTACGTCATCCGCCCTCCATGGGGCGTGGAGCATGGGCCTCACAGCGGTGCTGGGGGGGTGCGCGCGGGAGAGC